ATGTGAGAGAGAGAAACGCCCCACCAGGGATTAAACCTGCAACCCAGGAATGTGCCCTGACCAGGAATGGTACCCACAACTTTTCTGTGTATGGGACGATGCTTCAACCAACTGAACCACACTGGCAATTCTTAATCTTTCAGAGCATCAACCACCTTGAGAACCTCCTGAAAGCTATGGACTTTTTTCCTTTTTCATACTGTACATATACAATTTTTGATTCTGAGGATGCCATAAACCTTTAAGAGATCCAAGGACCCCACTTAACAATCCTTGCTACATGAAACACCAATAGCCAAATTGTTCTTCAATTGAAAAAAACAGGAATGGAAGAGGGCATCAAAGTTCAAGTTTCTATCAGTCCTGTTAGGCTACCCTCCACACTAGAGCAAAAGACAAGAATAGGGATCTACTGTCCACCTGCCCACTCCAACCACAGCAATAAAACCAGCCAATCAAAGAAACACACCAAAAACTTCTGCTCAGGAAAATGATCAGTCTCAGAGTAGAAGGGCTTCCCTGCCCCTCGAGTGAAACCCTCCAGTCTGTGTCTGTCAGCCCTGCCCACATATAGTCTCCCAACCACGCTTTGAATGCCTCATTCTTAACTATAATGGACAACTAAATAAAAATTGTGGAAGGCCTGCCACACCAGAGACATTAAAAGAAAAAATAATCTTGGAAGAAATATAAATACAGGTAACAGAATAAATTTCCAGTAAGTATCTTCAGGGATACTTGATGAGAAAAAAGTGCATTAAAAAACAAGTGAAAGTTTTAATCTCTTCCCATCCCCTCCACCCAACTCCCCTCTGTGCCATGCATTCATGCCTCTGGACCTATTTTTGTTCATTAGATCCCACATATAACTGAGATCATGTGATATTTGTCTTTCTCTAACTGGCTTATTTTGCTTAGCATAATAATCTCCAGGTCCATCCATGCTGTCACAAAGGGTAAGAGATCCTCTTTTTTAACAGACGGGTAGTGTTCCACTGTATAAATGTACCAAAGGTTTTTTTAATCCACTCATCTACTGATGAAGCACTTGGACTGTTTCCAGATCTTAGCTATAGTAGCAGCTTTATTTTTATACTAGAGGCCTGGTGCACAAAATTCGTGCACTGGGGTGGGGGTCTCCCGCAGCCCAGTCTGCACCCTCTCCAACCGGGACCCATCGGGGGATGTCCAACTGCTGGTTTAGGCTCCAGATCGGGCCTAAACCAGCAGCCGGACATCCCTCTTACAATCCAGGACTGCTGGCTCCCAACCGCTCGCCTGCCTGCCTGCCTGCCTGCCTACCTAATTGCCCCTAACCGCTTCTGCCTGCCAGCCTGATCACCCCCTAACCACGCCCCTGCCAGCCTGATCAACACCTAACTGCTCCCCTGCCAGCCCGATTGCCCCTAACTGCCCTCCCTTGCTGGCCCAGTCGCCCCCAACTGCTCTCCCCCTGCAGGCCTGGTTGCCCCCAACTGCCCCTCCCCTGCCGGCCCGGTCCCCCCCAACTGCCCTCCCTTGCCAGCCTGGTCACCCCCAACTGCCCTCCCCTGCCAGCCTGGTCACCCCCAACTGCCCTCCCCTGCCAGCCTAGTCACCCCCAACTGCCCTCCCCTGCCGGCCTGGTCTCCCCTAACTGCCCTCCCCTGCCAGCCTGGTTACCCCACCTGCCCTCCCCTTCAGGCCTGGTTGCTCCCAACTGCCCTCCCCTGCAGGCTTGGTCGCCCCCAACTGCCCTCCCCTGCAGGCTTGGTTGCCCCCAACTGCCCTCCCCTGCAGGCCTGGTTGCCCCCAACTGCCCTTCCCTGCCGGCCCGGTCCCCCTCAACTGCCCTCCCCTGCAGGGCTGGTCCTCCCCAACTGCCCTCCCCTGCCAGCCTGGTTGCCCCTAACTGCATTCCCCTGCCGGCCATCTTGTGGTGGCTATCTTTTGACCACATGGGGGTGGCCATCTTGTGCGAGGGTGTGATGGTCAATTTGCATATTACCTCTTTAGTATATAGGATGTCTTTTATTAATTTCAGAGAGGAAAGGAGAGGGAGATAGAAACGTCAATATTGAGAGAGAATCACTGATCGGCTGCCTCCTGCATGCCCTCCACTGGGGATCAAGCCTGCAACCCGGGCATGTGCCCTGACCAGGAATTGAACTGTGATCTCCTGATTCTTAGGTCGACGCTCAACCACTGAGCCACGCCAGCCAGGCAAGCTTTATGTTTAATTGCCCAAACCTAGAAGCAACGAAGATGAATCTTAATAGGTGAATGGATAAACAAATTGTGGTAAATCCAAAAAATGGAATATAGCTCTGGCTGATTTGGCTTAATGGTTAGAGCACTGGACTGCCAAATGAAGGGTCACAGGTTTGATTCCCGGTCAAAGGCACATACCTCTTTGGGGCAATCTACCGAGGAGCCCCAGATGGGTGGGCGAGGCCTACCTCTTTGGGGAGATTGATTGCGGGGCTCCTGCACTGTGAGAGGGCACAGGCCAGGCTGGGGGGACCCTCCCCCCCAAATGAGTGCACAAATTTTGTGCACCAGGCCTCTAGTTTGACCATAAAAGAATGAAGTGCTGATACCTGCTATAACATGCATGAATCTTGAAAACATTATGTTCAATAACATAAGATAGACATAAAAGACAACATATTATATGATTCCATTCATATTAAATGTACAGAATAGGCATATAAAGACATAGAAAGTAGATTACTGGTTGCCTAGAGGTGGGGAAGAAGAAATGGGGAGTGACTGCTAATGGGTATGAGGTTTCTTTTTAGGGTGATGGAAATGTTCTAAAATTACATTATGGTGATGGATGCATAACTCTTAATACACCAAAATACTTTGAATTATACATTTAAATCAGTGAAATTTATAATATTAGAATTATGTATCTCAATAAAGCTGTTTAAAAAAATCTAAGAGAACATTTGATCACAGACTCATATTAATCAGAGTTTCAATAAGATATTATATGTAAAAATAATAATAAAAGGGAATGTTCTAGTTTTCATTATTTGAACTAATGGAAATTACAGACCTCTGAGAGTCAAAAAATAATTTGGAATTTAAGTGAATTTCCACCTAAACATGAATATACTAATTGTTATGAGACTTTATTTCTATAATGAACAACGAAGCTACATTGAAACAACTGGGAAGTGAGCACAGATTCCCCATCTGACCATAGCACAAAGCTGGAATTAATGTACAGACTCTAAAATTTTCAGCAAGCATAAGCCTAAGCAGACATGCCATATCAAAACTTCCATGTATAAAATTAGGTGATATTAAAGAATTACTGGTAATTTTAAAATTGCTAATAGCTATGTGTTAAAGAGTTCTTATCTTTAAGAGATGGGTATTAGAATTATGGCAAAATAGTATCAGGGATTTGCTTGAAATTAAAACAGAACCGCAGTGGTCAGGGTAGAGGAATAGAGAAAACAAGGGTAACCATGAGTTAATGATTGCTGCAACTGTTGATTGTAATTGTTATTTATTATACTCTCATCTTTTCTATTTGTGCTTGAAAATGTTCATAGTAAAAAAATTAAAAACCAACCACTCAACTAACCAACTTTTCTATTAAATGTTTTGGTTTGAAATGCAAAGTAAGAGTAAACAGAATTGAGATGGTGGCAAACTACATTTACATAAAGGCCATGCTTCCTAGAATTTCAATAATTAATGAAAAGAACCAAACTGTCAGAATTAAGCACAAAATGCCTCTGATCTATAAAAATCATTATTACTTCTAGTACAAACACACAATTGCTCTTATGTCAGTGTTATAGCCAAGAGGTAGCTGAATCATACTTACATAGAATTCTAGTATGTGTGGTTACTGAATTTCTTAGCCAACAGCCAATAATTAGAAGGGAGGCTAATAAACACACACACAAAGAGCATAAGACTGCTGATGATCTAATAGGATGGAAAAGAGAGAACAGCTATATAAGACATGAAGTTCACCACTAATGAACACAACTTTATGAAGAGTAATAACCAGTATGATTAGAGGAAAGGCCACAGGCTTTGGAGTCAAACACAAACCCACATTCTATAGTTCACTAGCTATGTGAACCGAGCCAAATTACTTAACCTCACTTTTCTCTTGAAATGAGAAAATGACAATGGTAGCTACATTACCAGGCTTGCTTTGATGACTAAAAAAGATAATTATCATGTATTTTGGAAGCTGATTTCCCAATCCCAGATAACAACTTGCTTGCAACCCTGTAAGGAATCCTAAGCCAAAACCACCCAGATCAACTGCTCCAAATTCCCAATCCTAAGAAACTACATGAGCCCTAGCTGGTTTGGCTCAGTGGATAGAGCATCGGCCTGGAGACTGAAGGGTCCCGAGTTCCATTCTGGTCAAGGGCACATGCCTGGGTTGTGGGCTCAATCCCCAGTAGGGGGCATGCAGGAGGCAGCCGATCAATGATTCTCTCTCAACATTGATGTTTTTATCTCTCCCTCTCCCTTCCTCTCTGAAATCAATAAAGATATATTTAAAAAAAGAGAAGAAAAAGAAACTGCATGAAATAATAAATGTCTACTAAATGAAGTTGCTACATTTGGAGGTAATTTCTTACATAGAATAGACAACTAATACATTACGTCTAGCGTACAATTTGTCTATTATTTGACTAGCTAAATTTCCCCCCTAAATATAGTTAGTCTCTTTGCTATGTAAACTAGAGTATACAAGAGAAACCTTTTAATTCCTCTGAACAGAGTGCTCATCACCTTGTAACAGCATGTTTATAAAGCTGGATATTATTTTTAGTACTGAACCTCTTGAATCTAACCTTGCTTGTATACAAGTGAACTAAGGGGGCAAAAACGCAGACCACTGTGTCTGTCATAACTCCGTACCTCATCTCTCACCTAATACACTGAATTACATGTACACTCTATATCTGTATATCTGTGCTCTATCTCTGCTCTACAATACACTTTAATATTAATAATAATATTCTTAGTCCTACCTGAATGAGGCATTTGCTCACATCACTAGCACAGAGTGCTTTGTTACAACTCAGGGACACAGGGGATCCATGTCAGGGAACACCAAGATGGCTAGAGTAAGCATAACAACAGAATGTGACTTCATGTTTCTTCAAAGACAATCAGTAAATTCCCAGGAAGCTAAACCAAAACAACAACAAACAAAAAACTTTAATTCAAAGGCAAGTGCTAGGGTAAAAACAAAATACAAAAGTGAAAAACAACACAAATAAACCAAACTCATTGTGTTAGAAGACTGTCGAGGGATCATTTAAAGGTCACTCAATGAGAGATTAACATGAGAAAACACCCTACAATTTTATATAATAATGTCTTGTTGGGCATCTTCAAAGATTTAGAATAACTTAAATTTCTCCAGACCTACCTAGAAACCAGTGACTGTTAAAGTTAAAGTGGAGATATATATATGTATATATATATATATAATATATATGTATTTATAGGTCATCAGTAACTTGAGAGTATATCCAAGCAAATAACTAATTTTAAAACTACACTGATACTATTCAACTTTAGTTTTAGGCCTATTATTCAACTTTATGCCGGTATAAAAACTATTAGTATTGTATTCTAATCTAAAAACATTAAACAATATTTTAATTCTTAGAATTAAAACAAAGATTTTAAATGCAAATAATTCTGGTAATGATGATTATCTCATTGTTTCTTAACATAATTAGAATGAAGCAGCTCAAAGAAAGGAGTTGACAGTCATTCCTTAACTAATTTAGCAAGTAACAAAGGGGATGGTAAATTATTAACTGCATTATGTGAAGCTCTTCTTTTGATTCTATACCACAGGTACCATAGATTCTTCAAAATCATTAAGATGATATTACACTTTCAAAGAAAGAAAGAAAAAAAAAACCAGGACGAATTCTGACAGTGGTTAAACAACCAATGTGGCTATTAAAATTTTTAAAAAGCGAAGATATAACTTCTTAAGGTTAAAACACCCCCCCATAGAACCAATTAAAATAAATGACTACTGATGTAAGAGGGATAAAAGGTACGTTTATAGGGCCTTTATAATTACCGTAAACTTTTATACTAAGTATTACGAAGTACAATTAAAGCAAAAACAATAAGGTGAACGCGTAGAAGGCTTCGTTCCCAGTATGACTCAATTTTGAAAGAGAAAGCCCTGGTGACTGCTCCCGAGGTCACAGGTTTTCTTAAAGACCGTTAGCAACCCAATTACCTAATTTATTTAACAACACTTACCAAGTGGAATGACTTTTGGAGCCACCAGTGGAGGCCGAGAAAGGTATTTGAAAACTGATTTTATCCAGAACTAGTTTTCATCCTACAGCTACCAAAAAGGGGGCTTTAATTTTTTCGACTCTTACGGTTGTCTTCATCCTACTCCCAAAATCTTACTGGGAAGATATTCGAGTCAACAGGGGCAGACACAAAGCAGGCAGCAGAATGATCTAAGCGGCTTCCTGCTGTCTTTCTGAGTTAAGAACAAGCCCATCACCACGGTCCCCGCCCGCCCTGAGCTGCTGCTCGGGCTCCGGCGACGGTGCGTGGCCCGGGGAGCCGGCGCTGACAGCCGCCTTTGTGCCGCCGGGGAGGCGGCGGAGGCCCTCGCCCTCGCCCCAGCTCCCGGCGCGCGGAGCACCAGGCCAGGAGCACGGGCCCCAGCGGCGCAGGAAAAGGGGCGCAGAGGGGCCGCGGCTCGTGGCGCCAGGGCCGCCCGGCACCCCCCGGCGGCGGTACCCCACTTTGTCCTCCGCGGAGGCGGGGCTCCGGCCGCGCGAGCGCTCCCATTCCTCCCGGCTCCCGAGAAGCCCACCGCGGGCACGGCCTCCGGAGGCCCGAGCTCGGGGCACCGACCCTCCCGGCCGCGGACGCCAGTCCCGGCCCGCGCCCGCTCCCGCTCACCGTGCGCCGCGGCACCGCTGGGCGGCCTGGCCCGGCTCCCCGGCGGCTCGGCCCAGCTCGGACGCGCTGCGGGGCTGTGCGAAGGAGGCAGGCCGCGCCTCCGCGCAGTCCCTCCGCGCGACGCCGCGAGCTTCCAACACCTCAAAGGCACAGGCCCTCCCGGGCCCCGCTCCCGCCTCCGCTCAGCACTCCTCCCTCTCGTCCTCG